CTGCTCAGGACTACCAATTATCCTTCCAGCATCCAGCTCTAAGGTTCGCCCTGCGACCTCCATCTCATTCTCTCCTCCATTCTGGTTTCCTTGGTCTGGCTCGCCCATCAAACTTTCTCCCCTGGATCCAACTTCCAAGCCTACAGAACAAACATCCAAGTAAGCTTTACAATTTAGCTCAATTGGACAAATATTGACAACTTACCTGTCTGTGCTGCCATACTCATCCTGTGTCTCTCCCCACAGTCTACTTCGGAGTTCCTGCCCTGCAATATAAATAAACTATTAACTTTTATTTGTTGTTGGTCTCGTGTTTTGGTTGACTCCTGGGTATCCATAGAGGCTTTATTAAGAAAACATTGACATTGTCCAAGATCAAGGTCGATCTGGACCCAGCTTGCAATCGTTGTAAACAAACTCCAGCTATACTCCTGCATACATTCTGGACCTGTCCCAAACTGCAGACCTTTTGGCAGTCTATTTTTGACACCTTCTCTAGGATATGTGGCAAAACTGTACACCCATCACCACTTATCTCATTGTTCGGGGTGATCCCGGTGGACACGTCCTTCAACAAATGCGAGAAAGATGTGATTGCTTTTGGCTCTCTTCTGGCCAGGAGGTTAATTTTGTGCAACTGGAAGGACCCACACCCCCCAGTACACACTGGGTAAGGGAGGTGATGTACCATATCCATCTGGAAAAAATCAGACACACTCTGAAAGGTTCTGTGGGATGTTTCTGGGACACCTGGCAGCCCTTTATGTCGTTTATTGAGAACTTGTCAATGCCTGTGAGATTTATTTGTGTGTGTGTGTGTGTGACTGGTCCCGTGTTGGAGGGGATGTTCTGTGTTCCTTTGTTTTGTTCTGTTTTCTTTGTCTATAAAAAGACTGTTAAAAAAAAATCAGTGAACTCCTCCATGTTAACCTGTGATTGTGTAAAATGTGTTACAAACGTAAAAACAACAGTTCAGTCATGGAAAGTCCAACTTTATGTGACCAGTTTAATTTAGCAGCCTTTAAATATTTGAAAGTCATGATGATAAAACAAGCTCTTCAAAGGCCACAGTGATTTATTAACGCAGCCAAGTGAACACTTATCTTTGAATAAGAGGTTTTTCCAGTAGAATACGTTGCCATAGAAACTAACAAAAGGTTTGTGACACTTTTGAAGATGAAATATATTTACCAGTAGTTTTGTATCCTAGCAACTAACTCTGATGTTTCCATGGTAACTATGCACTTATAAAAAGTAAGAGATGCGTGACACTAGTCACTAGAGTCACACTCATCACATCCCACTTCTGACGTCTGACCTCGTCACACAGTCATTATCTGTTAACTATAATTAGGTACCAGAACCAGAACCACCGGCCTGCTGTTAACTCACTGGTTTCATTACTCTTGTCTTGTCATTTGTCTCCAAGATTCACAAGAGTTCTTATGTTTCATCATGAGTTGAGAAAATAAACTGTTTAAGTTGTTGTGATTCTGTCTTCAGGCCATCCGGGCCACGGTCCAACGCTACGAGGATACAGCAGAGAGCTTCAGACAGCTGAACTATCCTCTGCGAGATGAGGAGTCTACTCCGCCTCACTCCCCAGTAATGCTGCAATGTCCCCAGTGGTACCCCCAGTGGTACCTCTGTAGCACCACAGGCAGAACCACCTGGGTGATTACTCCTCTTGGTTCTGTTTGTTTTTCAGAGTTGTGTGGAGTTGGGGAAACGAGCTCCAACTCCGATCAGAGAGAAGGAAGTGACGCTATGCATGAAGTGCCAGGAGCCGTTTAACTCCATCACCAAGAGACGGCACCACTGCAAGGCCTGCGGACACGTGCGTTCATCCCCCCCAGTCATGAGATCATCTCCTACTGTCGTCTGTCTTTGACCATCTGTCTATCGTCGCAGGTGATTTGTGGGAAGTGTTCGGAGTTTCGTGCTCGTCTGTCATATGACAACAACCGGACCAACCGTGTTTGTGTGGACTGCTATGTGACTCTGGTGGGAGCATCTCCATCACCTGGTGGTCTGAGCAGCAGCAGCAGCCAGAGGCGGCGCTCCATTCTGGAGGTCAGTCTGACATCAGTGTGACATCACCAGGTGTTTGTGTTACTAAAACTGATTCTCTGTCCTTTTCCTCCTTGTTGCCATAGAAGCAGGCCTCGCTAGCAGCCGAGAACAGCATAATCTGTAGTTTTCTTCACCTTATGGAGAAAGGAAGTGGGCGGAGTTGGCAAAAATCATGGTTTGTCATCCCTGAAAATGAACCACTGGTGCTCTACATCTATGGAGCTCCACAGGTAAGTTTTCACTTTATAGGCTGGATTTATTTGACTGTAGGTACACTGAGAAACCAGCTGAAGACTTGCTGAAGTCCCCTACAGGCCACTTTCATCATTACAGCCAACACCACCCACTGACGCCCAATAAGAACACACCTGCTGAGGTGGAACACCTGGAGAGCTGGTGCAGAGAGAATAACCTTCACATCAATGTGAAGAAGACAAAGGAGATGATTGTGGACTTCAGAAGGAACAAAAACACCTACACCCCCCTGAACATAAGAGGATCTGCGGTGGAAGTGGTCTCCAGCTACAAGTACACCCAAGTACTTGTAGCTG